GGGTGGAGGGACAGCGCAGGAGGGGAAGACCCTCTATGAGATGGATCGATTCGGTGCCTGGGGTAATCGGGATGGGTGTGTCAGAGGCAATGTGGTTGGCTCAGGATAGAGCAGGGTTTAGGGCTGTTGTGCATAGGGTCGCTATGAGTCGCAAATGACTCGACGGCACATAACAACAACAACAACAAGAGGCAAAATCTAGAAAATTGAAGACTACTTCCCTATGCACTTGATTTGATCATCTTACGGAACTGTTGGCAGCATGATATTACAAAAGAAATTTGGTAGGATTTTACCAACTCAGAAATAATAATTACATGGCAGATATTCCAATGCTGTCAAGTGATAGAGATTATAAAATAATTTTAGATAGTAGCATCATCACTCTGGTAGTTTTTAAAAATTAAACCTCTTTTATTTGTGTTTCATAAGTATTTATTTGCTACTCATATTTTCTTAAATTATTTTTGGTTTTTGATGGTGGATTTTTTTTCCCATTTTATACTGGTTTACTAACAAAGTTCATATACATTGTTTTTCACATTGGATCTTTCCCCTTTCCTTTACCCACCCCTCAAACCCATCTAATTATGTGTCTTTATGATTAACACCCTGACCCCAGATCCTCATACTTGTTCTAAACTAATGGTCTTATACAGTATTTGTCTTCAAAAATAAAGCATAAACTAATGTTACAGAAATAGGTCCAGTAATATATCAGTTTGTCTAAAGTCACTATTTATTCATTTTGAAATGACCACTTAAATTTTTTGTTCCTTTTTTCCTGAAGGTATTTGTTAAAGTAATCATGATCATTTTTGTTATTTTCTTGACAGTAATTTTAAACAAAATGTTTTATCTTGTCCTGTGTTATTGTTAATGTACCATTGAGTACGCATAGCTCACCCTATTGTAGGTCTTTAGTCTTTAAATCACATGAGGGGGAATTGCCCACCTTCCTCCTGTGGAACAGCTGGTGGATTTGAACCAGCTGTCTTCAGGTTGGCAACTCAGCTTTACTGCTAAGCCACCAGTGTCCCAGTCTACTATTTAGAATGTAACTGAGGGTATGATAAATAAATTAAATTTATTCATAAATATTGCAAGGGAACACTGCATTGTTCAAAATTGGGAAGGGCATACGCCAGGGATGCATCCTATCTCCATACCTTTTCAACCTATATGCAGAACAGATTACCGGGAGGCTGGGCTCTATGAGGAGAAATGTGGGGTCAAGATTGGTGGACGAATTATCAACAATCTGCGTTATGCGGATGACACAACCCTGCTTGCTGAAACTGAGGAGGACCTGAAGCGCCTGCTGCAGAGTGTCAAGGACTGCAGCCTACAATATGGATTGAGGCTCAATGTCAAGAAGACAAAGATTCTCACCACTGGACCAATTGGCAGCATCGGGATGGATGGTGAAGAGATTGAGATTGTACACAGCTTTAGTTTGCTTGGCTCCATAGTCAACAGTCTTGGCACCAGCAGCCAGGGAATTAAAAGGCGCATTGCCATGGGAAAGTCTGCTGTTAGGGACCTCTCCAAAGTGCTGAAGAGCAGTGGTGTCTCTCTGGAGACTAAGGTGCGTCTGATACAGACCATGGTCTTGGCAATCACCTGTTATGCATCAGAGAGTTGGACAATGACCAGGGAGGATAGAAGGAGAATTGATGCCTTTGAGCTGTGGCGCTGGAGAAGAGTATTGAAAATACCATGGACTGCTAGGAAAACAAACAGATTTGTCCTGAAGAGGGTTAAACCTGGTGGCTCCTTGAAGGCAAGGATTCTGAGGCTCCGTCTAACTTACTTTGGACATGTTGTGAGGAGAGACCGGTCCTTAGAGAGGGACATCATGCTTGGGAGGGTGGAGGGACGGCGCAGGAGAGGAAGGCCCTCTATGAGGTGGATTGATTCAGTGACTGGGATAATTGGGATGGGAGTGTCAGAGACAGTGCGATTGGCACAGGACAGAGCGGAGTTTAGGGCTGTTGTACATAGGGTCGCTATGAGTCGCAGGCAACTCGACGGCACATAACAACAACAACAACATCTTTTTTTTATTGAAGCATTCTGTTATTGTTGCATACCATTGAGTCGAACTGACTCATCGCTGACCCTCCGGTGGCTTTTCAGAGGCAGTTAATCACATGGAGGTGATGACCCATCCTTCTGCTGAGCAGCTGGTAGATTCAAACTGCGTGCCTTTGGGATTTTAGAGCAGGTTCTTGCCACTAGGCCACCAGAACTCTCTACTAAAGTATACCCGTGTTCTTATATTTCTAATTTTCATTATTATACATCAATGTTTACATCTCATCAGACCTCAAAAACTGTAACTTGGACTTGTATGGCTGTTGTAGTTGCTAAATTAATAATGGGGAAAATATTTTAACCGAAGGATTTTTTTTTTATTGTTGTCAGGGTTATTTATTGTATAGAGATGTGAGTAACCACAGCATGACAGCCATAAGAATAAGCCCTGAAACATTGGAACAGGACGGTACTGTGGTGTTACCAGGTACGTTATTTCATTGGTCATTCACAAGCAGTTTTAAGAGATGTGCATGTTAGGCATTTAGACCTATAAAGAATGATTGGCAGGAAATAGTGCTTGCTTACAAATAGTTCAAAAATCTTGACATGCAAAATGTTTTATAATCTCTGTAAAAGTAGTGCATGTAGGTGTCAGACATAGAGCAAAATATTTTAACAATTATTTTCAAAATCTTACTCATTTGCAACTTAATTTTTCCATCCCTGCTATCAATTATCTTAACTACTGTGTTAGTGGGATGATGGTATTTCCTTGCTCTTATTAAAAAAATTCTCCTGTGAATGGATAATTTTTGTTACAAACAAACCACATTGCAATTTTTTCTTTATTCTTGAACTATTTTCAAGACAGCGTTTTATGATTCTGTCAAGAGTTTTATAAAATGTACGTATCCTTTTTAATAAAACTTTGATAAAGAACCTTGATCCTCATTTTGCCTCAGTTATTATTTTAGTTTTAATCACTGCCATTTAAGTTGGGATAGTCTATCTCTAATTTTGTGGAATACTGGAAAGATCATAAAATGTTTTCCTTTGTAAGATCTTTGAATTTGCTTTTAAAAAGTGGTTTGTGTGTATTAAAATGCTGAATGTTTAATACATATTTGAGTAATTTTAAGATAAGCGGCAATACTATAAGCATTAGACCATCAGGAGATGATTGAGAATCACTACTCTGAAGAGCACATTGAGAAAGATAATTGCTCCCAGGTTGCATGTTACTATTGAATTTTTCTTTATACCTCAATCATACATTTATGAATAGTGCTATGTATTTGCAAATTAGTTTACATGATACCATATTAAGGAAATATCACTTTGTTTCTTTTAACATATAGAGCAGCTTTAGAAAACAAATAAATTAAGCTAATTTCTAAGTGGCTGTTTTCAGATCTCTCTATACAGTTTTTCAATCACAAGTCCAAGTCCATGTCTAGGGTCCTAATATTAATGTTGTTGTTGTTGTTGTTATGTGTCGTCGAGTCACCTGCAACTCATAACGACCCCATGTACAACAGCCCTAAACTCTGCTCTATTCTGTGCCAGTTGCACTGTCTCTGACACACCTATCCCGATTACCCCAGTCACTGAATCAGTCCACCTCATAGAGGGTCTTTCCCTCCTGCGCTGTCCCTCCACCCTCCCAAGCATGATGTCCCTCTAAGGATTATTTAAAACATTAAAAGAAAAGTATAGAGAGAGCAATACACATATGTTGTTGTTATTGTTGGGTACTATAAAGTCAGAACAGACCCATAGCTTACTTTCCAGTGGGTTTTCAGAGGCAGTTAATTGCACAGGAGGAGATTGCTCATCCTTCTTCTGTGGAGCAGCTAGTGGCCTGGGACCATGTGCCTTCAGGATTGTAGGGCAACTTTTTTGCCCTTCGGTCACCAGAGCTCCCTAAAACACATAAAGAGTTAAGTTCATTATAGAAAATCCTTATAAGCAAAAGAAAATAAATCAGAACCGCTTGTAACCCACGTGGTTCTATATATATATATATATAAATCACAGTTAACCTATTAATGATTATTCTTTCTTTATCCTTTATTTGTGTGTGTATATTATGATCATATTCTAAATACTTTTTAGAAAGCTACAGTACACAATAGTCCTTTCACTTAGTATTCTAAATATATTTAGATAATATTCATTATCTACTATGCATTCATCATCTAAATATTATTTTAATGTTAGAAAAGATATTCTATTTTAATATGTTGAAATGGAGTTCTAGTTTTTTATTATATAAAATACACTGTAATAAACATTCCTACTACTGTGTCCTTATTTAAACATTTTAAAACAAACTTATAGAAGAAAAAACTTTTGTTAAAAGACAAATCTCCCTCACTGCCGCCTGAAGTGAACGAATAATATGAAGAATTTAATTCTGATGAGAAACTTTGATCATTAATGAGATTATGCATGATAAGATCATATTTATGTGTTAAGCTGCTGTATTTAGTCCAGTGTGAAAAAATGACTTGTTAGTCAATGTCAGTTTCTCTGCCTCATTTCACATATGAAATGCAACTTTAAGAAATGTATGTTTGTCTTTAAATTGTGTGTTTTATAAATATATACCGTGTTCTTGGAGAAGAATGAATTAAACTTTGGGAGGAGTTGTGTACCTTCAAACTGACAGACATTGCCTAGAATTTTCCTGAAGATGCCATCTTACATGAAGGATAAAGAGAAAATCTTTTTCAGTCATGTGTTAGGAAGACTCGGCCTCAAGCCTTGAAAGAGAAGTCCATCATTTTCCCTGCTCTTTGATGTGGACCATATTTTCTACAGGAGCATTTTCTCTCTCTCTCTCGATAGGGACAAATCTGCTCCAGGATTCCTTTCAAGAAGGACCACAAGATCATAAAATGGTCAATTGCTAAGTTTAGAGATGAAAGTGAATATTATGTTTAAAATTAACAAAAGTCAAGTAGTTCCCTGAGCTTTGTTTTCCAACTTGTTTTACAGTCAGGTTTACCAATACATTATTTTTAGCTTAGTACTGCTGAACTTATAAACTGTACTCTTTTTTTGTGTGTTTGTTTGTTAATTGTCATTTTATCCTTTATTTTTCAGCATATCTTTCATATTGTATTGTTGTGTCATTTATTCTCCATGTCTGGTGATCGGTTGCTTCAAACATAGAGGTTTTTGCTACTCTTCTTGCGCCGCTTCACCCCTCACCCTTGCATTTATCTGAAATTATAATGAGTTTTTCTTCTTTGCTTTTTAGTTTAAAATCTTACTGCTTAAAGCTTGAGAAGCATCTTTCTTGTGCCTCTTTATATTCTGTACAGTGGACTAGGAACTCTTTCTTTCGATTTCTCCTCTCTTTGATTACCAAGTCTCTTGGGCTTCCAGTGGGCCTTGTCTCCCAGTTTCTATTTCCAGTTTGTGATCACTCAATTCTCTATTTGGTAAGGGCCTGCCTGTGTTTTGCATATTTTTAATAAGGAAGTATGCTAGTATGAAGCTCCTGGGCAAAGATAAAAAATAATTTTATTTGGGTGGGGGTTTCCATTAATGCATTCTGGAAACAGAATTTTATATTTCATTGATTCAGGTGTAAATAGTAACTTGATTTCTTTGGGTATTGTGATTAATAGAGAGATTCATCCTAGTTCTCTGCAGTTATTTTGGGAAATGTGTGTGCTTTTATATTTGCTTGCTAAACATTTTTTTTCCTAAAGGATGTAGTATGTACTTAAATGTTAAATTTAGTTTGTAGTTCCATGTTACTTAGTAGCAATCACTAACACATGTTTCAGCAGTCCTTCTGTAATACAGGTATCCCTTGCTACATTTGAGCCTTTGTGTTACTTTTTCCCCCCAAGTATGTAGTGTACTGTTCCACAGAGGTATAGCTCCCTTATTGACATAAAAAGTCATTCTCATCAAGGTACAGGACCACTTTCTAAAAAAAAAGAAACATATGCATAGATTTATCTGTTCTACAAACAGTGATCATTTAAAAATACTGTATATGATGGAAAATAAAGAGGAGCTTTTAGTTTCAATTCCATCTAATTTCTAAAGCAAGGTATATCTGTAGTTGGACACTGTAGAACTCAGAGAGAGAGCTGTAGGTATATCTGTATTTTTCTGTGACACTAATTACTGTGCTGTATGTTTGAGGGTAGAGTGGTGCCTACATCGCATGTGATTGTATTGAATTGATAATAAACAATGTAGTTTGTCATCATGGTGCATGTTTGCTACCAGATTTTAGTCAATACTAATTCATTTTTAAACTAGGTGATATCTCATGTCTTTGAATGTGGAAGAAAGTATAAATCTCAGTATAAAAATGTAATAAGTACTTTAAATTGAATTACTTAGCATCTACTTTTTTGCAATTTTTTTATTAAAAAGTGCAGTCTCCCTTTTAGTTGAAGTTTGTCCTTATTGCGTGGAGAGCGCTCATTCTGACTTCAACAGAGGAGTAAAGTCATTTTATAAAGTCTTTGTTTATTGTAATGTAATTCTTTTTTTCTTCTTTCTACACAGATTGTCACACTGAAGGTCAAAATATTTTATTCACTGATGGAGAATATATTAATCAGATAGCTGCCTCAAGAGATGTAAGTACCCTGAACCATGAGTGACTAGTTTAAGTAGAACTCCTTTCTCTTAAATTATTTGCTGCAGTTTTTAAGTGCTGCGAGTCAACTGTGACTGGGTGAACAATGGGTCTGAACTCTGCCCTAGCCTGCAACATCCTTACCACCTCCAGTATACTTGCGCCCATTGTTCCTGTCACCTTGTCCAGGATTTTCCTCTCTTAAATTGACTCTGCAGACTTTAAAGTCCATATCCAAGCAGTAGTCCTGCCTAGCAGCGTGCCAAAAATATGTGATACAAAGTTTCACTCTCCTTGTCTCCAAAGAGCATTGTGGTCACATTTTCTTCAGCACTCCTCTCTACCACCACAACTCAAACACATGAATTTTCTTCTGTCATTCTTATTCATTGTTCAGCTTTCAGATGCACAGCAAGTAATCAAAAAGACCATGGTTTAGGCCAGATACACCTTAGTCTCTAAATTGGCATCTTTGCTCCACATTACTCTGGAGAGCATTCCCAATACATCTTTTGATTTCTTCACTTCTGTTACTAAGGATGTTGATAGTGGATTCAAGTGAAACCATTGGCAATTTCAGTTTTAAGTTAATTAAGCTTTATTACATATACAATATCCAACTCCATTGCTATTAAGTTTATTTCTTATAGCAGTCATATAGGGCTGATTAAAATTGCCCCATTTGATTTCCAAGGCTGTATTCTTTATGTAAAGGGAGTGCTGGTGGCCGAGTGGTAAGATTCTGCACTGCAATCCCAAAGGCATACAGTTTGAATCCACCATCTGCTTCGTGGGAAAAAAATGAGCCATCTCCTCCTGTGCCATATACAGCTTCTGAAAACCCTCTGGAGGGTCAGCTGTAGGTCAGTTCTGACTCAGTGGCACACAACAACATTCCTTATAGAAGCAAGAGTTATTCCTCTGGAGTAGCTATTTAAACTGGCCAGTTTTTGTTAGCCGAAAAGTGCGTAGCCACTGCATCACCAAAACTTCATGTTACAATCTAGAGCGTAAAAAAATTTTTTATGCAATGTAACTGTGAATATTTTATTTCTTTTAGGATGGTTTTGTTGTCAGAATATTTGCCACAAGCACTGAACCTGTGTTACAACAAGAATTACAGCTTAAACTGGCCAGAAAATGCTTACATGCCTGTGGTATCTCACTATTTGATCTGGAGAAAGACTTGCATATTATAAGTAAGATGTCAAAATAAGCCTTTGCCTCACTTTTTAATTTCCAGCTCCTTCATTCTTTTAAAAAATAACTAGCGTTGGTGTTTTCTGCAGTGTAGATTATTTTACAGAAACTATTTTAATGTCTGTTATGATAAAGCACAATCATGAGCTAGTATGTATAAGAACCTAGAAAATAAAGTTCTGTAAACAGTGTATTTAAATGCTATTTTAAGGAATTGACTAATAATTTGCCATTTTCATCTTGCCTGGAGCTCTGGTGGCCTAGTGATAAGGAGTTGTGTTGCCATTCCAAAGGCATGTGGTTCAAATCCACCAACTGCTCAGTGGGAGACTGCTACAAAATTTTCTCCTATGCATTTTGTATCTTTTGAAAATCTACTGGCTGTGAGTCAGTTTCAACTCAATGGTGTAAAACAAAAAACAGTGGTAAAGAAAAGTAGATTTAATTATGGAGTGACATCACAGTAGACATATTATGTTATATGCCTTTTCACATTTATTTAAAAGTTTGGAAACGTCTATTTAAATATTGCTGAAATTGCATATAATTTGCTTATTCAAACATAAAGCTTTCATTAAACAGATTTTTAAAATAACATAGAATGAGCCTGTTAATTATGAATATGACAATTGTCCCAAGAAACTGATTCAAAATATTTCCTTTGGATTTAGAGATTCAAGAAGACAGAGCATTTCTTGGGCTTGTGTATTAACTCTTTTAGTTAGTCTAACTCCCACAGAGGTCTTAATTTGTATTGGCTCATGCTACATCAGACTTCATAATACCATTCTGTACCTGGTAGAGTTCTGTATAACACCCACCTCTTTTACTATTCTTTGTGAAAATTCAGCATTGACATTAATGCTTTAGTTGGAATATTTCGGGTTTATAGTACTTTAGTAATTCCCTCAGTGTAAGCATTTAAATTAAGATCAAGAAATTTTAAAAACTATAAATTTAAATATGAAAACTCATAAAGTCATTAATAATTAGAATAATTTTACAAAATCATGAATTGTTCGTCTGTGGTTTTACAAATAAAATTTTTGAAAACCGAATAAGACTGTGTGTATGTTGTTGTTATGTGCCATTGAGTCAGATCGCACTCCGCTGACCGTCTGCGGGTTTTTGAGGCTCTAAACCTCACCTAAGATTGCCCGTAATTCTTCTGCAGAGCAGCTGGTGCATGCCTTTGAGGTGGCCACTGCACCTTTTACCACTAGGCTACCAGCCCTCCCATATGTGTGTTTGTGTACATTTAGTTCACAGACTAGCTGCACAAAATGTTCTGTATGAAAATAGAGTAGATGAAAAGCCTTAGTTTAAATAGTTACTTGATATTGTTTAAGTTGTCAAACCTATTGTGTTTCTGGACTAAGATTATTAAGCTTTATATTTTGCTCACTTGTGAATAAGCAATTTAGTTGTGGTATTTAAGTTAAATAAGATATGAAGCTCATACTGCCTAGTGCTTTTTAGTGGAGACATCCGTCCAGAAGGCACCTAGTTCAAATCCACGAGCTGTTCTGTGGGTAAAGGATGAGCAGTCTCCTCCCTTATGATTTACTGTCTCTGAAAATCAACTGGAGGGTTAGCTTTGGATTGGTTCTGACTTGATGGCACACAACAACAACAACAGCAATGCTATTTATTAAGGAGCTCTGGTGGCCTAGTAGTAAGAAGCTGCACTGCATTCCCAAAGACAATCAGTTTGATTCCACCAGCTGCTTGGTGGGAGATGGATGGACAATCCTATGTGATTTACTGCCTCTGAAAACCCACTGGAGGGACAGCTGTGGGTTGGTTCCAATTTGGTGGCACACAACAACAAGAGTGCTGCTCAGTAGATGTGCAAATAAAATTTATTAACTCATCTATTCATTCCAGAAATACTGCTATTAGTAAAATTTTAAGATTTTTATTTATATTTTAAAAAACATGGTTTTGTGGTCTTATGAAACTTGTGTTAACTCTTTTCTTGAAGTAGTATATTCATTATAGTTATTATTTGTTTATTTTTGCAACCAGGCACATGACATAGATTTTGCCATCCTTATTTTTGAGTTATATTAATTGATGGACTTTTTAATCACTTAAAATAATGCATCTTTGACTGCACATTATTCATACCAAAAATATAATAGCATTTAATGATCTTTTTGTCTTTAGGCACAGGATTTGATGAAGAGTCAGCAGTTCTTGGCGCAGGACGGGAGTTTGCATTAATGAAAACAGCAAATGGAAAGGTAAATTACTTTTATGATAAAATTAATATTTTCTTCTCTAAGAAATAATTCTGAAGCTTCGTCTGACATACTTAGGACTTGTTGCAAGGCAGGACCAGTCCTTGGAGAGGGATGTCATGCTTGGGATGGTGGATGGACAGCAAGAGAGGAAGACACTCGATGAGATGTGTTGATTCAGTGACTAGGGTTATGGTAGGTGTGTCAGAGACAGTGAGATTGGCTCAGGATAGAGCAGGGTTTAGGGCTGTTGTACATAGGGTCACTATGAGTCACAGGCGACTTGGCGGCACATAACAACGAGAAGTAATATTGTTAACGTATTAGTTCACATAGTTCATAAGTTTAAATAATGTTTTGAAAATATTTTATTATATAATGTTCTCTTATTTTTATGTTTTAAAGTTATTTTTTCTTAAGGTAAAATTTTATTAATAAAATAGTATGTAATGGAATTGATATATTTAAGTCTTTTTAAACTACAAAATGTTATATTTTTATAAATATATTCTTTTAATTATGCTGCTTTTTGTATATTTTTGTGGTTATGCTGCTCCTTGGAAGTAAGGATTCTGAGGCTTCATCTGACATACATTGGGCATGTTGTAAGGAGGGAGACCAGTCATTGGAGAAGGACATCATCCTTGGAAGGGTGGAAGGACAAAGAAAGAGAAGCTGGATTGATTCAGTGACTGGGGTAATGAGCAGAGGTGTGTCAGAAACAGTAAAGTTGGCACAGGATAGAGCGATTTTCAGGGCTGTTGTACATAGGGTCACTGTGAGTCGCAAATGAGTTGATGGCACATAATACCAACAGCAACAAGATGTACTGTTAAGTGAGAATCAACCAATAGCTGACCCTTCACTGAGTTTTCAGAGACAGTAAATCTCATGAGAAAAGACTGCCCATCTTGTGGAGTAGCTGGTGGGTTTGAGGACCTGCTTTTGGATTGGCTGCAAAGATCCACTAAGCCATTAGATCTCATAATATTTTAGTTGGCTTAAATTTACATTTTGTACTTATTTTTATAACTAGTTTGTGTGTTACAAATTTCTGCACCTAAAAAAACAAACAAACAAAAAAATGTCTGCACCTGTAAATGTACAGAAATGTACTTCCTACATGTTGGAGAAAGCAAGACCATGTGTAAGTTATAGTTTGTGAAATTTCATCTATAGTAATAGGCACTTTGTATCTAGTAAATGTGAGGATACAGTAAGATACTCAAAAGAATTTTTAAAATTTCAATTACTAGACTAAGAGTTATTACTCCCATAATATATTAAAACTCACAACTGTAGAATATTCTTAAAATTCTCAGTTCACTCAAGTTATTTTAAAAAAAAACCAAACAAATTTCAAAAATAACCAAATATATGCAAGTACACTCTCTTAGTCTAGTAATTGAAATTTTCAAAATTCTTTTTGAGTATCTTACTGTATCCTCACATTTACTAGATGCAAAGTGCCTATTACTATAAAAGAAATTTCACTGGAGCACAGAGAAGCCAAAGCACAAGGAAGAATTCAAGATACTAAAGAGTTGAATAGAAGATTTCAAAAGGCAGCACGGGATGACAAAGTAAAATATTACAATGAAATGTAAGGAGTTGGAATTAGAAAATCAAAAGGGCCGGACTTGCTCAGCATTTCTTAAGCTCAAGGAACTGAAGAACAAATTCAAACCTCAAGGTGCTATAATTAAGGATGCTTTGGGCAGAATATTAAATGATCCAGGAAGTATTAAAAGAAGATGGAAAGAATATACTGAATCACTGTATCAAAAGGAATTGGCAGACACTGAAGAATTTCATGAAATAGCACATGAGCAAGAGCCTATGGTGATGAAAGAAAAAGTTCAGGCTGCTTTGAAGGAAATGGCAAAAAATAAGGCCCCAGGAATAGATGGTATAACAGTTGACATATTTTAGCTAACAGATGCTGCCCTGGATGTGCTCACCAAGTTGTGCCAAAAAATCTGGAGAACAACCACTTGGCCAACTGACTGGAAGAGATCTATATTTGTTCCCATCCCAAAGAAAGTGGCAAAACAGAGTGTGGAAACTATAGAACAATCTCATTGATTTCACACGCAAGCAAGATTCTATTGAAAATTATCCAAAAACGACTAGAACAGCACATCAGCAGAGAACTGCCAGAAGTCCAGGCTGGGTTTAGAAGGGGTCGTGGTACTAGGGATATTGTACCTGGTGTTAGATGGATCTTAGCTGAAAGCAGGGAATATCAGAAGAATATCTATCTGTGTTTCATTGACTATGCAAAGGAATTTGACTGTGTGGATCATAACAAACTATGGCTGACTCTGAGAAGAATGGGAATCCCAGAACACTTGATGGTGCTAATGCGAAACCTATACTTGGACTAGGAGGCAGTCGTCAGAACAGAGCAAGGGAACACTGCATGGTTGAAAATTGGGAAGGACGTATGCCAGGGATGCGTTCTATCTCCATACCTTTTCAACCTGTATGCAGAACAGATTATCCAGAAGGCTGGGCTCTATGAGGAGAAATGTGGGGTCAAGGTTAGTGGACGATCTATCAACAATCTGCATTATGCAGATGACACAACCCTGCTTGCTGAAACCGAGGAGGACCTGAAGTGTCTGCTGCAGAGGGTCAAGGACTGCAGCCTCCAATATAGATTGAGGCTCAATGTCAAGAAGACAAAGATTCTCACCACTGGACCAACTGGCAGCATCAGGATGGATGGTGAAGATATTGAGATTGTTCACAGCTTTAGTTTGCTTGGCACCACAGTCAACACTCTTGGCACCAGTAGCCAGGAAATTAAAAGGCACATTGCCATGGGAAAGTCTGCTGTTAGGGACCTCTCCAAAGTACTGAAGAGCAATGGTGTCTCTCTGGAGACTAAGGTGCGTCTGATACAGGCCATGGTCTTTGCAATCACTTGTCATGCATCAGAGAGTTGGACAATGACCAGGGAGGATAGAAGGAGAATTGAAGCCTTTGAGCTGTGGTGCTAGAGAAAAGTATTGAGAGTACCATGGACTGCTAGGAAAACAAACAGATTCATCCTGGAAAGGGTTAAACCGCATGATTCCTTGGAAACAAGGATTCTGAGGCTCTGTCTAATATACTTTGGACATGTTGTAAGGAGAGACCAGTCCTTGGAGAAGGCTTGGTAGGGTGGAGGGACAGCTCAGGAGGAGAAGACCCTCTATGAGGTGGATTGATTCAGTGATTGGGTTAATCAGGCTAGGAGTGTCAGAGACAGTGCGACTGACACAGGACAGAGCAGAGTTTAGGGCTGTTGTACATAGGGTCACTAAGAGTCGCAAGCGACTCAATGGCACATAACAACATATTTTAAAAAGTGTGTCTTAAATAGATATGAAGAAACTATTGTGTGTTTTTTTTCTAATGCATACATTTCTTGCTCAGTTTGAAAATATATCTAATATATAAAAAATGTTTGGACTCTTGGTTTTTTTGGGTTTTGTTAACTATGGAATGACTTTTCTTTCATATGAAAGATGGTGTATTGTAAGCTTGAAAAGACACTGTATAGGATTTTTTTCTTTCTTTTTCATATATAAGATCTATTACACTGGCAAATATCAGAGTCTTGGAATCAAACAAGGTGGTCCTTCAGCAGGAAAATGGGTTGAGCTACCTATTACAAAGTCTCCAAAGATTGTTCACTTCTCGGTTGGACACGACGGCTCTCATGCCCTTCTAGTTGCAGAAGACGGAAGCATTTTTTTTACTGGATCTGCAAGTAAAGGAGAAGATGGAGAATCAAGTAAGTTGACTGATCAACTAAGTAGTCAGTAAAAATACTGTGGGGTTGTTTAGCCTAAGAAACAAAAAATCCTCCAGAAAGGTGGCGAAGGATTAATAGAAGTCAGAATGACAGAAAGGTCAGAATTATCTGGAAGAAGTGAGAAAAATAGAATTACTTTGACAATCCTGAAATTTATTTTGGATAACAATGTCTATGAAAGATTGAACAAAAAATTAATTTGCCTTGTAAACATTCTTTCAAATCATGGTAAGTAAAATAACACAAACCCATAGCAGGCAAGCCAATACTAGCTCATAACAACTTCTTCATTTCAGTACTAACAGCAAATATAACAGAGGATTTTACACTAGTTAATATTTAGTGGCTTAGTAAAAATATATTATTCTATTTTATTATTATTATTATTTTTAAAGCCATTGTAGAAAACTCCAGACTTTAGAGAAGCACATATTTCAGAGTGAAGACAGTTTTATTTCACAAAATCAGTTGTAAATCACTATTCTAGGTGGTTTTTTTTTCTCTGTAATGAGGAAAGAAATAATCTTGTTTAGCTCTTCCTTTTTGTTTCCTTTCAGATTACTCTCAATATGTTATTTTTTTGTCATTTGTAACTTATTTTATGGTAAATATGTTTTAGCAATGTGGAATAATATCCTATGAGGAGTAGGTTTTTAAGGGTCAACAGAAGGCAAAATCATGTGTAAATAAAAGCTGCATTGGGGATAAAAATCCTTTCACATACCCATAAAGTCTCTTTATATCTCTTGATTGTTCAGCACACCCATACTCTATCCCTCTAATACTTGAAGTGCATTATTTTTTTTCCTTTGAGCAACAGAGAAAAATGTTGTCATATGTTTGTATATAGATCATGTTATATGATAAATATATACATACTGGTATCTTTAAACACAAGTATTATACTCTTTTAAACCAATGTTTTTATCCCTCAACATATGCAGATACTGACCAGGGAAACAACAGATTAATATCCCCTGTCTTTTGTTCATTATGTTGTTTTGGTTGTTGTGTACCCTCAACCCGTAGCTGACCCTCCAGTGGGTTTTCAGAGGCAGTAAATTGCACTGGGGAAGATTTCCTGTCTTTCTCTATTAGAGCTGCTAGTAAATTCAAAACATGAGCTCCTTTGAATCATGGATGGTGTAGCTTCATCTCATGTACTTTGGACGTGTTGCTAGGAGAGACCACTCCTTGGAAAGCAATATCATGCTTTGAAAGATGGAGGGTCAGCAAAAGAGAGGAAGACCCTTGACAAGATGATTAACACAGTGGCTTCAGCAATGGGCTCAAGTGTATGAGAGATGATGAGGATGGCAAGAACAGGACAGGATTCCTGTAGTTAAAGAAACACACAGTTAAGTGAGTTGTACTTAACTCAGTGGTACCTAACAACAACCACATTTGAGTTGGCAAGTCTTTACCTCTAAGCCATCAGAACTTTCTTTTGTTCATTCTAGGGACTTAATTTTTAAGAGGTGAGGTGCTCAAAGCATCTGTTTCTAATTTTTTTTTCCCTTCAATTGTCTCTTTCAAGTTCTTATAGTCAGTCTCTCATTAGCCTATAATTGATATGTAACAATGTGCAATGAATGAAGAATTCATCATACTTCTATGTTTTAACATAAATGAGAGAGAGTTTGAAAGACAGAATGTTTCCTCTTGTGGTATTAATGGTGTAAGTAGCTAAGCAAGAGATTAGACTACTGAGAAATTTGCTTGAAATTTGATATTTCCCTTTGGGAATTTCACTTTGTCCCAAAGAAGAGGATATGGCAGTGATCATCTAAATAATAACGTTGGGGAGCACAGGCATTTATGAAAGTACTGTATAATGAATGCAGTACCATCCTTGCTTTCCCTTGAACGCTGGGTCAACTTAACAGCTAACTCATTATTGCTGAGTCAGACCAACTCATAACTCATCTCCCAGCAGATTTTTGAAAGGCTATAGATGACATGGTTGGAAATTGCCCATCTTCCCCCTGTGGAGCCACTGGTGTGTTTGAACTCCGGAGAGACAGATCTAACCTTTGTGTACCAGTGCAGCTACCTCTGTGTTGTATGCCACCAGAGCTCCCTTTTATGTTGTTGATGATGTTATGCGGTGCCGTCACATTGACTGTAACTCCTATCAACCATATGAACAACAGGATCGGGACCTTGTTCTATCCTGAGTCCCCCTCACAATCTCTAGTATGTTAGAGCCCATTGTTATAGTCACTTAGTAACAGTTGCTGATACATAATCCAGTTGCTGCTATGGATTTTGACTGACAGAGAGTTCATGTGTATGAGAATACAACTGTGCTTCTAGAATTTTGTAATAGTCTGTTGTTTAGAAGTAAATCGCCAAGACTTGTTTCCTCAAGGGCTTCTCATTTGATTGAGACCGCCACCTTTTCAATTAGCAGCTGAAAATATTGACTGTTTGTACCCCTCAAAGATACTTGTTATTTCTACATAGCTGTAATAATTTTTGTTCTTTGTTTCCTAAGCTAAGAGCAGAAGGCAATCAAAACCCTATAAGCCTAAAAAGATAATTAAGATGGAAGGAAAGATTGTGGTTTATACTGCCTGCAATAATGGGAGTAGTTCTGTTATTTCTAAAGATGGAGAGCTATACATGTTTGGAAAAGATGCCATTTACTCAGATAGCTCAAGTAAGTTTAAAAAAATTAAACATTGTTTTAATGTATGGGGAGAAGATAAATAATAATAATAATAATAATTATCAGTGTATACTGTGATGATAATGGCTTAAAATTAATGTTTTTTGTTTTCTTTTTTCTCCAAATGAACATTTCAACATTTTCCCCTTGTCATTTTTGTGCTTTCTTTCTGGCATGCTCTGATTGTTCTGACATGTTCTGGAACAGGATTTTCATATCACTGCTGACTTGTAATCATTGAGTTATCAAACTGTTAAGTCATCAGGGAAGAATTTTATCTTATTTACTGCTATATTATAATGCTAAGCACAGTCTGCCTGGCATCATATAGGTTCTCAATAGTTACTGGTTGACTAAATGACTAAGACACCAAAAGTGTTAATAGTGGCTATAAGCGCTACAACTGATCAGAATAGGTAAACTTTGTCTTTAAATTCTAACCTTAAAAGAAGTCTCCATATTATGTTACTAGGTTTTCTTTCTAGCACTTACACTAGAAAAACCACATTGTCAGAACCTAATCCTAGCCAACTTTCCAGCAGGTTTTTAATGGCTGTTAACTGAGTGGAGATTGCCCATCTTTTGCCAGTGGAGTCTTCAGTGGATTCTCATTGCTAACCTTTGGGTTGATAGTGCAACTCCCTGCCTACTCTAAATAAGTATAATTAAGTGAAGAAACTCACGTAGATGGATTTTATACAAGAAAAAGATTAATAAGCTAATAATATCTAGTCATTGAGTGTATATGAGGGGTGTAATTTGATAGTTGTGATTATAGACTTCAGAACTGATAATATTCACCAATTTCTAGTCAGTCAATAGTTTATTTAAGCTTTTAGAGCTTTTCTACTCTTCCCCTATGAGATGTCATGTACTGTTGAGTTGAGTTTGGCTCACAGTAACCCTGGACAAAGTTGAATTGCCACATTAGGGTTTCCTAAACTGTCAGTCTTTACACGGGTATTTTACCCAGCCTTTTTTCCAGTGGCTACCTTGGTGGTTTTGAGCCACCAATTTGTAGGTTGGCAAGATTAAAAATTTTAAAGTAGATTCATAAAAATACTAAAATGATAGTATAGTTGACACTTGGTTGTGATAAAGACAGTGTAAGTAATATTTGAATATCTAACTGACTCATAGCTCTGTTGGGTTTCTGAGGCTGTAAATATGATGGGAGAAGGTTGCCTATCTTTTCCCTGCTGAGCAGATTTTAAGTTCAAACCACCAGAGAGGTGCCACCTTGATGTGGGCAGAGCAGTTCCCTAGGGAGGAGGCTGTTAGCCCTCACATGAGGATCAGAAGTTAGGCAATAATCCTTTGTTGAATTGTAGTTAGAAGCATTAAACTTTGTAGGCATTAAAAGATCGAAAAGTATTGCTTTGGAAAATCTTATGAGTATCTTTAACAATTAGTATAATATGGCAAGTATTTTAGTATATTTAGTATATTGGTATGGCAAGTTAAAGTAGGTAAATAATGATCTATAAAATCACTTGTGCCTGGACCAGGAAAATTTCACAACTGTTACCACTTCTGAGAATTACTGAGAGAAGTTCACCATTAGAGCAGCAAACATTCAGGAATAAATTTGAATTAATGCTACAGTAAAAATTTGTTTCATGTCTGGATGAGAACATTTTAAAATTCATTTAAGCTACATTATAAAAGTACCAAATTATATTCTACCAGCCTTCTAGATGTTTATCTCTTGCTTGAATGAGCTAGTTATTTTGCTCCAAAAATAGAGTTTGGTTTGTTAGGCTCGGAAGAATGTTTTAGTTGTTTCTTACCCAAGTTGTATCCTTTCTGTAGGTTTGGTAACTGATTTGAAGGGCCATTTTGTAACTCAGGTAGCTATGGGCAAAGCGCATACTTGTGTTTTAATGAAGAATGGAGAAGTATGGACATTTGGTGTAAATAATAAAGGACAATGTGGACGAGACACTGGTGCCATGAACCAAGGAGGGAAAGGTAGGTGTTTAATAAGTGGATTTTAAAATTTGTAATTCTCAAATAACGGTAATTATTAACTAACATCTATCACTGAGAAAATGAAATAGTTTTTATTTCTGAACAAATGAAACCACTTATATAATGCTTAATATCTTAAAATACAGTAGTTCCACTTTGAGTTAAGATTGTTAATGACAAAATTATTCCACAAAGTGGATTTTCTCAATACTTGGTTATTAGTCCCCTTTTACAACATGTTTTCAGTATGGCCATTTGAGAACAAAAGTCTATCTGACAGATATTCCCTTCTCTTCTAACAAAATGTAATAGCAGTAACTTTATCTGTTTTTACAGTTAAGAATTATCTTTAAGAATGACCCTGTATCAAGAGAGAATAAAATTATAGATTCACCTTCTCTACGATATCCTTTGTCCCAGTCCTCAGATTACTGAAGTGAAGAGAGGGATTTATCTTGATTCCTGTGCTTGTGTGGGCATTTAAAAACTAATAATAGGCGAGCTCTGGTGGCCTAGTGGCAAGAAGGTGTAGTGCAGTCCCAGAGGTGCACGGTTCAAATCCACCAGATGCTCTGCTGGAGAAGGAGGAACAGTCGCCGCCTGTACCAGTCAGATCTGATTTGACAGTACACACAACACACACACAAAATAATAAAATAAAAATAAAAAGTTGTTTCCTTTAAAAAAAACCCTGATAATAATTTTTGCCAACGTATTGCTCTCAAATTGTATTTTAGTTGCCATTAATAAGCTCATACCCTTTTTTCTAGTTTTTGGTTTTCTGTTTTAAATTTTATATGGACTAGGGAATGTAGCAATAATGAGTGTTGGAACTTTGAACTATGTTTAAGGTACAAATGATGTTGAGGATTAAGTGTGTTATAAATAAATAAAAGCAAGTTTAGCTCTTTTAGGACCAACTTAAGTATATTCAATGGTTAATATATTTGAATCTTGAGAGTTATCATTTTTTTTCCCTGAGAGAGAACTATGTTTACATATGTAGACACAAAATGTATTACGTATTTGGCAAATATAATATGGTTCTCAGTGACACATTATGCACTATACCACTGGGGCTTCATATAACTTTCATAGTAACTTACTGTATTGGCCTTTATTGCCCAGGGTAAGACGATACAAAATGACATTTTACCTACTAAGGATCCTCCCACCTAAAACAGCTTCCAAGCTAAGAAGGACTTTGCATTTTAGAGAATAATATTTTAAAAAAAGAGTGTTCATATTGTAGTCTCATTATTAACAAGCTGTACTTTAAGTTGTACAACAAAAGAGTGTACTGACCTCTTATCTGAAAGAATGAATACCTGAAGTATTTCCATCCTCAGTAGAATTTGTTAGTTGTTGTTGTTGTGTGCCTTCAAGTCAGAACCAACTCAGAGCCTATCTATGCCCCTATCAGGTTTTAAGAAGCTGTAAATCGCATGGGAAGTGATTGCCCATTTTTCTTCTGCAGAGCAGCTGGTGGATTCAAACCATCTGCCTATATTTTGTCTGTTCTGCTCCTTATCCACTAGGCCACCAAAGCTCCCTTGGTAAAAATTAGTTAAACAAATTAAAACAAAATCAAGTAAATTGTAACTGAAGTATAAGTAAACTTTAGTTATAAAGTTAATTGAAGTATAAGTAGACTTTATTTTTAAAGTAATTGAAGTATAAGTAGACTTTACTTAAAAATTTACTTAGAAAGTGTTTTCATAGGAAATGACTTTTGAGGTGAATTACTTGAAAACTAAAAAAAAATTGCTCTAGTAGATGGAGATAGATTATCTCACTAGTGAAAACAGAAACATGGTACTAGATTGCAAAGAGTGTTTTATTCTCCTAAAGGCTTGAAAACATATTAAAGGTTTTTAAATTATGAGGAATCTCTGGATGATATACATGGTTAACCCACTCAGCTGCTAACCAAAGTCCACTCAGAAGTTCCTCAGGTGAAGAGCCTCGTGATCTATTCCTGGAAAAACACACACTGATTGAAAACACTGAAGAAGCATCCTTGTACTGTAACACAAGTAGTTGCTGTGAATCAGAATTGGCTCCTGGTATTAATATTGTTATTTTGGGACATCAAGTTAATCCTGATTCATAGTAACCATAGAAGACAGAGAGTAATAGAATTGCTCTCCTATCGTTCCCTGGAAAGATGGACAATCTCCTTCCTTGTGATTTACAGCCACTGAAAACCTGCTGGAGGGTAATCTATGTGTCGGTTCTGAAGGTCTTTACAGGAGCAATGATCTTTTCTCCTGCATAATTGCGAATGAGTTCAAACTGAGTGCCTTACTGTGGTGCCATCAGGGTTCTTTGACATGGGTGGTGGTGGTTGTTGGACCTTTTGCAACCCAGTGAACAACAAGTCTGAATCCTCTTCTATCCTGTACCATTCTCACACTTCCTGACACAGTAGAGTCCATTGCAGCAGTCACTGTGTCAGTTCATATGGTTGAGAGTCTTCCTCTCTTTCACTTTCTTTTCTCTCTTCCAAGCATGATGTCTCTCCTCAAGGAATATCCCCTCCTAGCAACATGTTTGAAGTTTGTGCGATGAAGCTTTATTCTCTTTGCCTCCAAGGAGCACTCTGGCTTCACTTTTTCTGAGACCTATTTGTTCTTTTGGCAGTTCATGGAATATTCAGTCACAGTTCAGGGGGGCATCGTTCTTTTATCGTCATCCAACTCTCAGATACATAATAACTGTCTTACTCCTCAATAATTTGGAGAGGTCCTTGACTATACACTTTACCCATATCCTGATTCCCTGATTGCTGGTACCAAGTGTACTAGCACATACACTGGTGCTATCCTATAACCAGCCAAGCCACTGTTGTCAAGCTGATTAATTCATAGGTTTGTGAGGCCTTAACTCTTTACAATAGCCAGTTGCCTCTTCATTTTTCCTTTGAAATTGCTAGTGACTTAGAACACTTGACATTTTTATTATCCATCCTGTGCTTAATTCACTATGCCCTCAGGGCTCCTGGATACTGGTATGCAGTCAATTCATAGATGGCCATAACAATGGCTTTTCAGAGACTATAAATCATATGGCAAAAGATTGCCATGGTGGATTTAAACTCCCTGTGTTTTTGTAGATTAGAAACACCGTTTCTTACCTACTAGACCAGCTGGTAAATTGTGAAGCTCTAGGCTCAAATATGAGCTTTAGAAAGTTGATTATAGTCTTGGGAAGTATTTCATCATTTGTTCTGCTAAGATTAGTAGCAGAACTGTTATAAGAAATATTGAGTCATATTGTCCGAAATGCTTGACCTACCGTTCAAGTCCATGATTTCTGGCATCAACAGCTCCTCCTTTGTTCGGTTCCCCAGCTCCTCAATGTCCTTTGGATTTGGTAGTTCCCTACAAGATTTCCCACGGACTCAGACCCATCAGGGGACTGGTGATTCACTTGACCTTAGTTATGCAGGCTAGTTTTGCAGAAACTGGTAAGTGATGGGGCAGGATCCTGTAGACTGTCATTTGTGGCGCAGCTGGATGGTGACTGTGGGTAGTGGAGGCTGGATGCTGTATCCCAGGCAAGTGTTCTGCAAGAGAAGGTGCCTAGTATTGAGGTCCCATGCGTTTATATAACCCTCTAGTAGGATGGGGCTTGTATTCCAGCCTAAGCCTTTCTCCTTAATAGAGTAATTACTTCAGCACAAAATAAACAGTTAATGATTTGCTAAGAAAGACATCTGAATGATGAGCCTTAGGTAACTCAGCAGGTTAATCTAGAGTAATGGGGCCCTTGACTATTTGGTTTGTTGAAGAGATGATGGTAGCCTTGATAAAAATAGACCATACTCAGCAAAGATTTAAAAATGCAGTTGGTAGAAAGGCATAACTAGTGAAAATTTGAAAATAGTCTTTCTCACTTCCTTTTGAAGATAGGAATAAAGGGCCTGTTCACTACTGGTGTCTAAATAAAAGTTCTTTTTGTTGCTCTTATATTTTATCTTCCCTTTGTATATTCACTTAGATTGCTATGATCTGTATACCTTCTTTGTTGAGGAATATAATTACCAATTACAATATGATCTGCCAAATTTAGGGTTTGGAGTTGAAAATATGGCAACAGCAATGGATGAAGATTTGGAAGAAGAACTGGATGAAAAAGATGAGAAGTCCATGATGTGCCCACCAGGGATGCATAAGTGGAAACTCGAGCAATGCATGGTGTGCACTGTCTGTGGGGACTGCACTGGCTATGGGGCCAGCTGTGTCAGCAGTGGGCGTCCAGACAGGGTCCCTGGAGGGTAAGGAAATAAATAAATATGCAAGAAATAAAATAGTAATACAAAATGTACCAACACAGTACTTGAACACAATTACTTGAGTATATTTTACTTTGTTGGGTTTTTTTTCAAAGTTATTTGAATACACATTTACATTTCTTTTAGTTGCTTTCTATTATAGTAACATTTTTCTGATATAATACCACCTTTATTTAACACTATGATTAAAATATTTGGCTCCTCATCAAAAGATTAATGGTTTGAATTTATCTGCTGCTACAAAGCAGAAAAGTGAGGCAGTCTGCATCCTTAAAGATGTACAGCCTTGGACTGCTGTGTGGCAGGATGCTCTTTCACACAGGATTAGAATCCATCATCTGCTCCATGGGAGAAAGGTGGATAATCTCCTTTGGGATTTACTGCTTCTGAAAACTTACTGAGGAATCCGCAGTGAGTCAGTTCCGACTGAAGGCTGTACAACAGCAGGATGTGTCCTATAGACACATCCATGTTGTATTGCGTTTCCTGAATTCTTTGTTAGTTTTTCATACTTTGTAATACTCCACTGTATGAATGTAGCACAGTTTCTCTGTCCATTCATTTATTGATGGGCACGTGGATTGCTTCCATCTCTTTTCTATTGTGAATAATGCTACAGTAAACATGAGTGTGCATATATCTGTTTGTTTTCACAGCTCTAATTTCTTTACGATGGAATAACTAGATCAAATGTTATTTCTATTTTCAACTTTTTGAGGAAATGCCAGACTGCCTTCCATCGTGGATGTACCACTTTACATTCCCATCAGCAGGGCATGAGAGTGCCAGTCTCTCCATATCCTCGCCAACATTTCTTGTGTGCTGTCCTGTTGACATTTGCTACAAAACACTTCATTATGTATTTGTGGTGTGAGATAATAGGGTGAGTGGCATCCACTTCCTGAACCACATGCCTCTGGAAACTCTGAACTTTGAGAAATGACAATTATACAAAGGCTTCGGGCCTTTTGTTCATAGTGTCACTCTGAGTCATGCTCGATTTAACAGCAGTAAACAACAACAGCAGGGTGAGATAATATTGAATTGGCTTTTTTTCCATGGTGTTGGAGAAAAGTACTAAATATTTTAGGTACAAGACAAGTCTGTCTTGGCACATCTTGGCACAGGGTACTTCATAATGGCAAAGATGGTGAAACTATCTTACATCCTTTGGCCATATCGTCAGGAGGAGCTATGCTAGGAAAGATGGAGAGAGCTGGAGAGTCAGACAAAGAGAGAGAGATCTCAACAAAATGAATTGACTGTAACAGTGGACCTGAGCATATGAGAGAGGGTGAGGATGACACAGGAGAGGACAAGACTCAGATCTATTGTGTACAGGTTTGCTAGGAGTTGTAGACGACTTTATGACACCTAACAATAACAGCAAATGACAAGGAACTTTAATGTTGTTATTGGCCATCCTAATGTCTTGTTTGGTAAAGAGTCTTTTCATATCCAGTTTTGTAATTGTATTGTTTGCCTTTTTCATTTTGAAGTGATGTTGTATTCTCTAAATTTAGATATAAATCTCATGTCAGATACATCATTGCCAAATACTTTTTTCCTGTTAGTGGTTGCTCTTTTACCCTTTTGGAGAAGTTTTTTTCATATACATATGGATTTGATACTTAAAATTTCCCTTTCATCTATTTCATCCTTTCCTGGTTGTGCATTTTTGTCTATGTTTGAAAGCCTATTCATGTCATAGAGTTGTATTGTTATAAGGTACAGTCAAGTCAGAACTAACTCATCTAGCTGATTTCCAAGGCTATAAATTGTGTGAGAGATTTCCCATCTTTCTCCTGTAGATCAGCTGGTGGTTCCGAACCATATACTTTTGGATTGGCAGTTTAGGTCCTTACCACTAGGCCTCTCTTGCCATAGATTGTTTTTGTTGTATGCCATCAAGTTGGAACCCACTTGTAGCTGACTCTCCAGCTGGTTTTCAGAGGCAGTTAATTGCAAGAGAAGAAATTGCCTATCCTCTTCCGATGGAGCAGCCGGTGAACTATAATTGCTTTGGGGAATGCAGTGCAGCATCTTACCCTTATACCACCAGAGAGGTCCCTAGATCAGAGCTTCTAAATTTGTTCCCATTCTTCTTCTGCTATTTATCATCTTTGTTTTACTCATAGGCCTTGATCCATCTTGAATTGGTTTCTATATATGGTGTGAGATGTGGATCTTACTTCTTGTACTACAGTTTTTTTCAGGCCTTTGTATTGTTTTCAGGAGCTTTGGTAGTTCAGTGAGCACTTGACAGCTAACTGAAATATCAGTGGTTTGAACCCATCAGCCACTTTGTGGAAGAAGAGACCTAGAGATATGCTACAAAACCTCAATGGGGCAGTTCTGCTTTGTCCCGCTGGGTTAGTATAAATTGGATTTGACTCAACAAAGTAGCACAACAACGACATTATGCTTATTTTAGAGTTACTATTTGAATTTAACATAAGCAGAATATAAGTTTCTCCTAACCTTGTTATCATAGTGTACCAGGGAGTCAGAACCACCCCATTCCTGATGTTTCAGTGAGTTTTCAGCAGTAAGAAATGATAGGACGAGAGTGGCCATCTCCCTCCTTCAGAGCAGCAGGTAAATTCCAATCACTTACCTTTGTGTTGGCAACACAGTGGCTTATTGTACCACCAGAGCTCCTGCCCCTTAGCATAAACAATATGAATTTGGATCTTCTGCTTATATCATCAGTTAACCAGTAATGCTGGATATTTTTTATAAGATTGCTGATGATTGCCTGGATTTATGGGATATAGGAAATCTTGTGAAGAAAATCTCAGAATGAGGTCAGCCACTCCTAACGGTGTGTTTATTTAGGAGTCAGATTTTCTTCCCAAATAGTGTCTAGATGTCTTGTAGTACATATATTTGAGTGTATACTTGGCCTACAATTGTTAAACTTATACATATAACAAATATTTTTAATAATAACGAATATCTTAAAATAGGAGTTTCTAAACTAAATTTATTCCATTTTATTAAATTATGCAAATGTGTTTTATCTCCCTTTATTAAAGAGCCCTGATGTTGCAGTGGTTAGGCACTCCACTGCTAACCCCTCAGCTAGAGAAAAATGTGACAGTTTATTTCTAATAAGATTTACAGCCTTTTGAAACCCTTTGGTCACCTATACTCTATCCTGTCATTTTGGGTCAGAATCAACTCAGGGGTAGTCAATTAAAGAATTATATTTATTCTGTAAAACTTTGTGCTTGGTTTTATTTTGTATTTTGGAAATACTCAGCTATGTCTTTTTAAATTTAAATTGGATCCATAAATAATCTGTTAGTTACCTAATAATAGCATTGTGATTAACATTTTTGTTCCTTCATCTTTCACAAGGTATTTCTGTTCAAACTAAGTGTCTTCAATCTCTGAATTTAAGCAACTGACATATGTTATAAGGAAATCACTGATGCCTCCTGAAAATAATTAATCCTTATGAGGTTCCATCCCCCTTAGAGGCTTCCTATCAGTACAGAGTCATTGATCTCAGTAGCTAACAGGGTGTAACTAAGTACAGTACTTATGTAGATGAAATTAATAAAGTCAGTATAAGACTGTGTAAGGACATTGCTGTTGTTGTTGTGTGCCATCAAGTCAGGACAAACATAGTTGACCCTCTAGAGGATGTTCAGAGGCAGTTTAATTACATGAGAAGAAATTCCCCATCTTTCTCCCGTGGAGCAACTTGTGGTTTCGAACTGCTGTGCCTTTGGAATTGCAGCATAGCTTCTTACTTCTAGGCCACCAGCACTTCCTGGGAACATTGTTGTTTGCTGTTGAGTTGGGACTACCCATAGTTGGCAATGCAGCAGGTTTTCAGAGGCTGTAAATCACATGGGAGATTGCCCATCTTTCTCCTACAGAGCCACTAGTGGATTCAAACTTTGTGCCTTTATGTTTAAAGCACATCTCCTTATCACTTTGCCACCAGAGAGAGCTCCATGGAATCTGTATAATACTAAAGTTACTTGTGAGAATTTGAAATAGTTTTTATTGTTGTTAATAGTGGTTTTGTGTATGGAATGAGGTGTGGATCTTGCTTGAATTTTCTATAGAAAGTTTTCCAGTTTTGTCAACACCATTTGTTAAAAAGGCTGTCATTTCCCCATTTAACTGATTTCATCTCCTTGTCAAAAATCAGTTGACCATAGGTAGATGGGCTTATTTCTGGATTCTTAATTCTATTCCATTGATATATGTGTCTTGTTATCATACCAGTACCACGCTGTCTTGACCACCATGGCATTGTAGTAGGATTTGAAATCGGGGAGCGAGATGCCTCCTACCTTGTTTCTCTTTTTAAGGAGTGCTTTAATTATTCGGGGCCTCTTTCCATTCCATATGAAATTGGAGATTGCCATTTCCATCTTATTGAAGTGTGGAATTGGTATTTGTATTGGGATTACGCTGAACATGTAAATTGCCTTTGGCAGTATTGTAATTTTCATAATATTGAGTCTTCCTATCCATGAGCAGTGGGTATTCTTCCATTTCTCCAGGTCTCTTTTTGTTTCTTGTACTAATGTTTTATAATTTCCTTTGAATAGATACTTTGTGTTTCTGGTTAGATTCAATCCCAAGTATTTAATCTTGTAATTAGCTGTTGTGAAAGGTATTGTTTTTCTTAGCTCCAGCTCAGTATCCTCTTTGTCACTGTAGAGAAATCCAGTTGATTTTTGTATATTGATCTTTTATCCTGCCATTTTGCTGAATTGGTCAACTATGTCCAGTACTTTTCTTGCTGAGTCAGTAGGGTTTTCTAAGTATACTATCATGTCACCTGTATAGAGAGATAATTTTACCTCCTCTTTGTCAATTTGGATTCCTCTTATTTCCTTCTCTTGCCTACTGCTATCGCTAATACCTCAAATACAATATTGAAAAGGAGAGGTGGTAGTAGGCATCCTTGCCTAGTTCCTGTTCTCAAAGGGGAATGCCTTTCATCTCTCTCCATT